TTACACCACTTTGTGTATATGCACAAAAGGCTCTATATACTTCTACAGAGATAGCTGCTCAACCATGTTCAGTGCTGCTCTATTCACACCAACTAGGGAATGGAATCAGCCTAGATGTGCATCAACTGATGAATGGATCATGAAAATGTGATACAAATACTCAGTGTAATTTTATTAAACTGTAAAGAAAAATGAAATTATGGACTTTACAGGAAAATAGAGGGAACTGATAAAAAACATACTGAGTGAGGTAACCCAAGCCCAGAAGGACAAAGGTTACATGTGTGGATCCTTCATGTGTGGATTCTTGTTTTGAAACTTTAGTTTGGTATGTTTAATTTGGAATAACAGAGGGAACCTGGGAACTAGATTGGGGCTATTGTAGGTGTGTTGCCTCTTCTACTTGGCTGAAAATTATATTCTTGAGGGAAGTATATTATGTGAGGTATTTATGGATTTAACTTGCATTTTCTATTTAACTTTATAAATTAAATCTATTATTGAAATTCATTATGCCTTGGAGATCCCATATTCTCTGATGAAGTTATGATTTGATGTATGATATTCTTCCAGGAAAACTTCAAAGACATCTTTTGTAATTCCAATTATAATTGTATGCTTATACTTATGTGTAAACATTTGGGTAGATTGTATAAGGAAAAGTAATAATTCTGTGTGTTACCTCAGATATATCTCCATTTTTAAAGATGTTTGAGATCAAATAGTCAAAGTACAGTAATGAATACTGTATGGATAGGAGACAAAGACTGTCAGCTCACATGCTGCACACCACTAATATCCTAAGTGAATAATTCTTCATGAAGGACTGCTGTCATGGTCCTATGACAATTGTGCTTCTTCTGTAAGCCATTGCTTTCCCTGGGGAGGAGGGTGAAGCATAACCATTGAAGGTTATTTTTGCCTCATTAAAAAGATGAAAACTTTATGTAAATTCAGATACTGAGTTACTCTCTAGTAGCAAAGGGGCTGTGGATTAACATAAAGAATGTCATTTTGAATCTTGCCAGGTAAGTTTGAATTCTGGGGCTTCATAAGATTTTAGCAATGGAAGTGGAGAGAGTGGTGTAGGTAAAAGCAGAGAAGTCCGTTTTTCATGTAAGAGCTTGCAAACAGGGCTGATTATGCAAAATCTGAATTTTTTTTGATATGTTCACTTGGAGTCCAGATTCTAAAATTAAAATTATGTTGTATTTCAAATATATGTGGCAGAGTTGTGATATTTTGATGAAATTATACAATAGGAAATGATCAAAATCAGGTTAGATGATTTTGTATTTAGAGAAATATCTACAGGAACACATCTTATTTTTAAATTTTTAATTATTTGAGATTCCATTAAATGTATTTTCATCACATTCACCCATAACTCCTGAAACTTACCTCTCCCAGATCCACCCCCAACTTACCTGCACCTTCATCATGTCCTTTAAAAAAATAAGACAATCTATAGACTCCAACATGTGCTACCCATATACTCCTAGGTGTGGGAACATTTACTGCAGCATAGCTGAGCTACTGGAAGCCACACCCTTTCTCCAGAAACTACCAACTGTCCACAGCTCCTCAGTTATGAGTTCATGAACCTCTTCCAACTCCAAGCTGGAATGCTGACTGGCTTGATCTTGCACAGGTGAACACAGCTTGGGGAGTGGGCATGGTATAGATGTCACATTTGTGATTGAAAGGTCCACTGACACTTATTCTCTGCACTCTGTCCAGTTGTAAGTTTCTGTGTTAATCACTCTCCCTTGCACAAAGACAATTCTCAGATGAGATTCAAGAGCTTCACTAATATATGGGTAGAAAGATGTTAATTTGCCAGGTGATGGTGCCTACCTTTAATTATAGAACTTAGGAGACAAAGGCAGGCAGAGTTCTGTGAGATCAAGACCAGCCTGGTGTACATAGGAAGTTCAAGTTCAACTGGGATTACAGGAAGATCTTGTCTTAACAATACCAAAAATATGAAAGAAAGATACGAATTTAGAGAGCAGCTTGACACTATATCCATTTAACAGAATAATAGTAGTAGGTTCAGCACTGGGACCTATGAGCTCCCTAACCATGGGTTTTTGTATATTGTATATATGTACAGAACCAGGCATGTGTTCCTTTAAGTGGTGTGGGCCTTAAATATAATTATAAAGCAGTTGGTTATCTCCATAACACTTGGGTCACTATTTCACCAATGGCCATATCTTGCTACCATGGTCAGTATTGCAGTTCACAAGGTTCACAGCTGAGTAAGACTGTTGATAATTTTTACCCCAGAAGGGAAAGATTTCTTATAGTCTTGTATTCGGAGATTTTCACTCCTGTCTTTTCCAGGAGATTCCTGGAAGCCACTTTGGCAAAGTTCAAAGTCCTTGTCTGTTTGTAATCATGATTCTGATCCACTATCCTGTAGTATGAGCATCAAATGATCATTTTTTGAGATGTATAGGAACAAATTGTCTGTACATCATATTTTAATCCACTAATGGAGCTATGTCTAATGATATTTCAAGCAAAGAAAATAAGAGGCAATCTAACCCATGCCAATAAAAACTGGATTAAAACTAAACAATGAGTATTCATCCATCTTTTATATAGAACAATAAAGATGCCAGTAACAAATAACAGATAGATAACTGAAAGCGTCTTGTTCCCATTCTCCATGTGTGTGAAGATGAATAATTTTTAAGACTTCTGAACTTGTTCTCCCATCCACTATATGGCAGCAATAGAAGTGCTAAACTGAAAGGATTGTTGTGCGGGTCCAAATAGGGCTGAAGCACAGTATCCAAGTCACTCAGGAGAGTGGTATCTACAAACAGAATTGCATCAGTGCTCTTATGAGCATAAAGCAGTGAGGCTATCTGAGAGATGGAACTTTCTTTAGCGTCACAGAATCCAAACTAATCATTTAAGAAATAAAGTCAGTGAGTGATAGAAAATACCTAAAATAAAAAAAGCATTAATCACAGTGTTGTAGAAAAAAGACTTTTCAATTTTATGATTTTCATACAATATGTTTTGATTATATTTGGACCCCTCTCTTACTACCCTATCTCCCACCACAAATTGGTGTCAACAAGTTTGTCTGTTTCTTTGCTTGCTTATTTTGAGACAGGGTGTCCCTCACATATATGTACATATAATCATACCATCTTTACTTTTCATTTAAATTGTATTTATTTCTTACTTCAAATTCTTTGACTTGTTTGTTTTTATTTTATGTATATGAGTATTCTGCCTGCATGCATGTAAGTCCACCGCATGTCTGAAATGTCCACAGAGGTCAGTACTGGGTGTCAGATATCCTGGAGCTGGAGTTCGAGCAGGTTGTTAGCTGCCTTCTGGGTTCTGGGAATCAAGTCCAAGTCCTCTGCAAGAACAGCTGATGCTCTTACTCTGATCCATCAGTGTAGTCTCTAATAGTATCCATTTCTTAGGATTTATATTACCTATGGAGGACATATTAGAAATGAGTCCTTTCAGAAGATTATTTGTATTATTTAAATGTCACAAAGCTTAATATCTAAGGAATGAAATATTTTTCACCAGACAAACTCAGTGGGACCAGTAATGAGAAGAATGCAGCAATGAACAGGGCTTCCTGCAGAGTCTACAGGGGTGAAAACAGCTCTCAGTTTATGGCACTGCCAGGGTGGGTCCTCTCCATTCATAGCACTGAGTCTCCTGTACATTCTGAACAGATCAAAGAGGCAACCCTTCACTGCATCTCACATTGTATTTGTACTGAAGGCAAATCACCTTCAGAGACATCTGCTTGCTACATTCTTCTCATGAGATGATCGCTACACCATCAGCTGCGTAGTGGACTCTTTTGATTTGTAAATATCATTTCCTAGCTTTCTCATGTGTGCCAGCCTTTAAATCAAGGGTTCACAAAAATCTGCTGTCTTATTTGGAACAGGTATTAAATTCTGTTTTTAGGCAAAACATTGGACAGGACTTAGTTGAGACAATTAGCAAACATATTGCCATTGCTTTTAGAAAAAAAATAGGTACAGCTAAATACCTTGCTTATTATGAAGGTCCTTATAGTTTGCATCATTTCACATGCAACATCTTACTCATCTTCAGTGAAGGTTTAATTTCTATCCAGTGATGTTATTCACCACTGATATCATCCTACTTGTTAGAGATAGTTTATTTATCTAGTTTTTTGGTATCATTTGCTTCAATTTTGGTGTTATAAGAGTATAAATATCATTTGTGAGTGAGATGATGAGAGTCTGCCCATCTATTAGTGGGTAGAGAGTAAAAAAATGAGAGGGAAAGGAAGAGATTGGTGTGCTAGGAGTGGTTAGTATTCATCTATAACATATTCTTCTCTCACTTATCAATTACTATTTTATTTTCTCATTATAATGATATAACCACAGAATTATAAGTCTCTTTTTTTATTATTTTTGTGCTCTTTTTATTTTTTCATAGTACTGTGGATCAAATCTAGAGCTTTGTGCCTTCAAGGCAAGCACAGGATCAAAGACCTACATCCCCAACCCATTTTGTACATTTGAATAATGCATATAAGAAAATTAAGTATTTAAAATCCTGTGTATATGTAACTTAATATTTGAAACATGACTTATTAGAAAACAATTCTACATTATCCTTTCAGATTCACTGTTTTCCAGAATGTCTATCTAGAATTTTAACTCAGGAAAAATTTTATAAAATATTACTAATCTATATGTTAAGTCCACTAAAATAGTTTGACATTTTCTCTCTAAACCATGCACCCTGCTACTATCACTGCAATACATATTGAAAGAGACATATTGAGAAGTTCATGAAGAACATACATGTATTAAAGAGAATAAAAATGTTCATGTTTTATAGGCATTATGTAACAGTTGCATCTTAGAGATACTGAAATTGCAATACGTTATTACTAAGGGAAAGGTTCAGCATGAGCTCTGCATGTATCTTTTCCTTCTTTGTCTCACAGTAGGTGAACAGCAGACAACATGACCAACCACACAGTGGACACAGATTTCTTCCTCATGGAATTCTCTCACAGCCAGCAGCTCCAGGTGCTCCAGGGCTTTCTGTTTCTGCTGATTTACTTGGTGTCTCTCATGGGGAACCTTCTCATCATCATGCTTGTCACTGTGGATCAGTGTCTTCACACCCCCATGTACTTCTTCCTGAAGAACTTGTCCTTCCTTGATGTGTGCCTCATTTCAGTAACAGTCCCAAAGCTCATTCTCAGCTCTTTGTCTCACAGGAGCGCTATCTCATTCCCAGGATGTGTGTGTCAGGTCTTGTTTGTGGTTCTCTTTGCCACATCTGAGATTTTCCTCCTCACAGCCATGTCATATGACCGCTATGTGGCCATCTGTCACCCGCTGCACTATGATGTCATCATGAACAGGGCAGTGTGTATACAGATGGTAGGTGCCTCTTGGCTATTTGGAAGTCTCTTTGGGGTCTTATATTCATATGGCTCCTTTTCGTTATCTTTCTGTAGTTCCAGAAAAGTGCCACAGTTCTTCTGTGATGTCCCCTCTCTACTGAAGATTTCTTGCTCAAAGATGCATGTCACCATTGACTTTAGTATCATCTTTGGAGTTGTGTATGGATTTTTCTGCTTAGTGTCCATAGTTTTTTCATATGTTTACATTTTCAACACAGTGCTGAGAATGCCCTTGTTACAAGGGAGGTCAAAAGCCTTTTCTACCTGCATGCCCCATCTCATAGTTGTCACTACATTTTTAGTTACGGCGGTTACTGCCTATTTGAAACCAGTTCCTGATTCCCCACAGCTTCTGGACTTTTTGGTGTCTGTTTTCTATTCTGTGATGCCTCCATCTATGAATCCTATAATATACAGCCTGAGGAATACGGAAATCAAAGCTGCTTTGTGGAACGTGTTATGGAAACTAGATTATTATGAGTTTTATAGGGGAAAAAACAGTCATGGTAGGTAGAAAGGCTACTTGATAAGTTTTGTATTAACAGCTTTGTCTGTATTTCCAAATACACATTTTCTTTACGATATGCAAAGAGTCCAGTGTCATAGTTGTGATAAATAATTGATTTTGATGTTTTAGAAAGAGGTTTTCAAGTTCATAATCCTGAGTCAACTACAATTATCTCAAAACCTGCATGAGCTGAGTATTTGCTACTTAAAGTGCATCTGCACATTTCTAACCTCAGAAGCACTGTGAAAAACTTCTGAATGATGTAAGAAAACTGTCCTCTTCAAACTACTTGAGACCTCTTGAGTACATTTCTTTACATTGCAAAGACATCTTGCATATGTAAGATAATCAACAGGGAGATCATTCTAGTATCCACAGTGAAATCACAACAACCCTTAAAAGCTGAGGAATAGTTAAGGTTTTGCTTAGAGAAATTAAGGCTGATGTGAGGTTGAAGTTATATTGTGAAAATTGAAGGTGGAAGTTTTTTTACTGTTCCAACTTAAGTTCTGCCTCTAGGGCCTGGAAAAAGAAGAAACATATCTTCTACTAGAGACTGAGGAGAGGAATATAGTCTTATCTGCCCCGTTCTACATCCCCAGGATTTGAACAGTGTGACTTGTGGGCACTTCTAAATTGCGAAAGTGGAGAAATAGTAGCTGTTTTAATTCAATACAAAAATTTGCTAAGACATATTTGCCTAAATCATCTTAAGTCGTGTCTAACTCATAATTTCTCATATGAGCAAGTATGCACAAAGTCTATAAAGTTAAGGATATTGAAAAGAACAAATAGAATTCTGACTCAGAATTTGTACTGTATATGAAAAAAATCTACAATTTTGATGCATTAACTCATTACAAATGAATACATTTGATATATTTGCTTTAATATCCATTTTTGCATTATGTCAGTTGTATTGTTTTTTTTTTTATTAGAAGCATTTCATTACAGCTTTAACATACCCAATAACAGTTTCTAGAGTAAAGATACATCTCTTTCAAAAGTGGCTATAAAATTTTTAGGTTTGGGCTATATCATTTTTTAAAAACCTTTTATTTACTATTTTTATGTTATCTATACCAGTATATTGCCTTCACATGTATAAGTGCACCCATGTCATGCAATGCCCATGGAGACCAGAAGAGGGTATTGAATCCCCTGGAAGTGGAATTATGGATGGTTGTTAGCCGCCATGTGGGTACTGGAAATTGAACTTGGATCTTCTGGAAGAACAATAAGTGGTCTTAACTGATTTAAAAAATTTTAATTTATTAACCTGTATCAATTTGACTCAGACCTTGGGAGTGCTATTAAAATGAGACAGAGTTTTCTTGAATATGTTCAATTTAATAATTCCTCAATTCATGGTTTGGTAATTTCTATTGATATTCTATTTGTTAAAAATTATTCATTTTAGCTGCCAGATATTTTGAAAAAATTCTCAATTTCTGTTTTAAATGCCTATTTCTGTTTTGTAAAAAATATTTTATTTATTATTTTTATTTTACGTGTCTGAGTGTATTGCCTGCATGTAGGTAAGTGCACCTGTGTCATGCAATGCCCAGAGGTCAGAAGAGGGCTTTGGATTCCCCTGGAACTGGAGTTAAGGATGGTTCATAGCTGCTATGTGGGTGCAGGGGATCGAACCCAGGTCCTCTGCAAGAGCAGTCAGTGCTCTTAATTACTGAGCTATCTCTCCAATCTCTATTTCTGTTGTTTTGAAGAATATTTAGCAAATTTATTTTATTGTATTGGAAGATAAAAAATCAACTGAAAGTTTAGAGCAGAGCGTTTATGGAAGCATATAGAGTGTGACCAGCTCTTAGAAGAGTGTTTTCTATGTAGCCCAAGAATAGTTTAAACACTCTACAGAACAGATTGGAGAGTGTGAACACTGTTTACGTGTGAGTGAGTTTTATGCCTTAAATTGCTGTGTGGTGTGTGGAAACAGAGGAGGAAACAAACATTAAAAAACCTACAGTGTAGTGGCTGGATAGACTGCTCAGCAGTTAAGAACACTGGTTGTTCTTGCAAAAGACCCAAGTTCGAATCCCAGCACCTACATGGCAGCTAACAACTGCCCATAACTCCAGTCCCAGGGGAACCAACAGCCTCTTCTGACCTCCACAGGCATTGTACAACACTGTTGCACTTACCTACATGCAGGCAATACACACATACACATAAAATAAATAAATAAAGAAATAAATAAATAAATAAATAAATAAATAAACCTACAGTGTTAACAAGAGGGTCACAAAGCAGGCAAACACGATTTATGGAAATTCCAATAGGATAGAGGAAATAGGCACCAGATAGTCTACAAAAAAGAATGACTGAGAATCTCACAGATTTTTTGAGAGTCATGGACACATGATTTCAAGAAGCTTAAGAAACGTCAACAAAATGAACCCAAACAAACTTACTAAAAGGTATATTGCAATCAAACAGTCAAAAGTGAAAGAATTCCATTGTGTACACAAAACCTATTTTCATTATTCATTTATCAGCTGATGGAAATCTAGGCTGATTCCATTTCTTAGTTATTGTGAATAGAGAAACTATGAACATAAATGTGTAAGTATCAGTATGATAGGTTAGAGAGTCTTTTGGGTTTATGCCCATAAATGTAATTGCTGGATCATAGAGGCTGCACCCGTTTCCAGTCCTATCAACAGTGTAAAGTGTTTCCCTTTCCTCATATCCTTGACTATATTTGTCATTTGTTTTCTTCATAATGACAATGCTTACTGAAGTGAAGTGGGATCTCAAAGTAGTTTGGATTTTAATTCCCTTCATGGCTCAGAATGCTGACCACTTTAAAAAATCTTAGCCATTGGTATTTTCTTCTTTTGAGAATGTTCTGTTCAATTCTATAGCTTTTTATTTCTTGTTGTATTTGGTTTTTACATTGATAGTTTATTTTTAGTTCTTCTTATGTGCAAAATATTAATACTATGTCCAATATAACTTGACAAATATTTTTTCCCATTAAAAACTAAGAGACTTGCATTGAGCTTCCATGTATTAATGGACAAGACTGCTCTCAGAAGTCATAGATTTCAAAATCAAAGTCTCAACACCAGTTTCAGGATAGCTACCTATAACTTTTTGGCCAGAGAACCCCCAGAGGCTCTCACAACAACACAGATTCTTGTCAATGATTTTGTCACGAACCAGAACCAGACAGTAAGGTTCTATTTCTGAGGACAGAATACACTTTGGATACATCTCCTCACTGGTGGCTAGCCTGCATAGAGTCAGACGGTGCAATGCAAGTTATCTGGGGGAGGAAAGTTATTCATGATCTCATCCAGCTTTGAATCCTCTGTGATGAACTGCCAGACAAGATATTCCCTCTGGTGGAATAGTAGAACAAATGTTTCTGGGTTAACTAACCACTTCCCAATTTGTACTAAGGCTGCTCCATGAGGACTATCTGCATCATACTATGAACCTGTTCAAAAAGCCTATGACTGGGGAGTTACCAGGTCCTAGGCAGGGAAATACTATTCATAATCGTTTAATGGATATGTTAAGTGTTTTCTAAGTATTTAAGCTTAAACTTGTAAACTAGTACAGTTTTCAGCCTTGCTCACATAAATCTTTTTTGGCAATGGGTGATGATAAAAGTTGATATTCAGAACTGATCATAATGTTGAGAATAATCGACTGCTGAGTTCACACCTGAAAATGGCACATTTATGTCACCCCCTTTGATACCCAGGCTCATGTGTGGAATGTTTGATTCTCAGCTGGTAGTGATATTTTTGAAATTGTTGGAAACTACAGGTGGATGTGTATCAGTGGGATGTGCTTTAGAAAGTTTGCCTGTTCCCTGGTCTCTCTGTTTCCATTCTTTTAGCTTAGCAGCTCCACTCTGGAATACTCTCCTGTCCATGGTGAACCAAAACCTCTGAAACCAGGAGCTTTCTTACTGTATTGTTATGTGGGGCATTTTGTCACTTCAAGAGAAATAAATAATACAGAAAACTGGTGCAAAAATGTGTTGAATGCTGTGATTATTCTGGGTGTAAATCAGAAGCCTGTGGACTTGTTTGTGGGGAGTTATTGAAAAAGTTTAGAACTAAACTTTTTAAAAATTATTTATTTATTTGAGACTAGGGACCCAGACTTTAGCAGACTGCCTGAGAGTGCCTGGATCCCACCTCCACATGGCATTGAGCTTACCAACATTGCACTGTACTCATCCTCTTATGTTGGGACCACATGTGGCCCCTCCCACTGCTCTGGTAAGAGGTTTCTGTCCTCTACAGTAGGGACTCATACCTTAGCAGACTGCCAAAGTGTGCCTGGATCTGGCCTCTATCAACTACATTGGGACCACCTGCTGTCCATCCCACTATCCCAGTTCTAGGTTTCTCTGGCCTTTAGTAGGGGCCTAGGCCTTTTCAGACTGCCTAAGAGGGCCTAAATTGGGCCTCCCCTTAGCGGGCTTCCCAAATTGTGCTGTGACTCCTTGGTAGTAGGGACCCAGATCTTAGGAGGAAGCCTGAGAGTACTTGACTGGGACCTGATTTGGCCCTCTGTGGGAGTTCCGCAGTAGCTGGACTTAAAAATTCTGGTCCCTCCAATGTTATGGCCTGATCAATTCGGTTTGACCTGGGATTGAAACTTGGCAGAGGATACCAGATATATTTCTTATATTTTTCTTGTGGCTTTGTGCATGCTCCTTCCCCGTGACCTGTAGCCAATGACGGGAGCTTTTGGGAGGCTGGTTAGTCAGTGACGGGTAAGATCTTCTCAGAGCAGAGCAGATCACTGGCCGATCAACCTAAGGGCTTTGCTCTGGCAGAGGGCGACCTAAGACAGGCATGGTCTTTCCATCCTGAACTTGGCATTTATTAAACAAAAAAGGAGGAAATGTTGGGAGCTTTACTATCAACACAGCCATTGTTGCATTAGATTGTGGCAGCTTGCCTTGACTTAAGCTTTGAAGAAGGAATGATGCCACTTTAAGAGCTTCCCTGCTCTCTGCTTCT